AATCACAGATCTTTGTACCTGCAAAGAGGCTTACCATAAGAGCCTTTGTGTAACAGAAATTCAGTTTGCCATGTCTGTATCTTTACGCGAAAGCCTCCATCTCCTCCACCACAGTGTAAATCCCCAGTCCCTATTTATTTAGCTTTTTCCCGGTGGGTCAAAATCTCCCAATTACTCTTTCTTTCCTTTGGGTCACTCATGGTATCATGAATCATAACTTGCCCAACTTTGTAGTGAGAGAAAGAGAGAAAAAGACTTCAGATTTCAATAATAATAATAATAGTTAATAGTGTTTGAAAGCTAGCTATTTGCAAGACACTGTGCAAAACACCTTATGATATAAAAAAATTATCTCGCTTAGTCTTCACAACTACTCTGTGAGTGGGCCTAGTAGGCAGTTTGTAGACAAAAGAAAAAAAAAATTGAAACTCAGAGAAGTTAAAGCAACCAGCCTTAAGGACAAAGAGGGGGCACATCTGAAAATTCAAACCCAAGGTGTCTGGTCTTATTGCACTACTTTAAATACCATCATAGCTGTAGGCCACAGAACCCGCAATTACCCAAGTGCTTCGACACTGCAATGGTTACCTTAGGAGAGCTCAAAATGTGAGTTTCTTGACTGATGCAATTAAAAGGTCAAAGGTCAGGTAAATTGTTCAGTGGTTAGTAGAATCACTGATAGAGCTAGCAGGACGGAAAGGCAGGGGATAAACATCATTTTCTTCTAGGGGTAGATTTGCCTTCCATATTATTTTGTTGAGCTGTTAAAATGATTTTCAACAAATAGACCCAAGGCAAACGGGTAAATTTAAAAAGGCGTCTGGAGAAACGCACATTGAACTGTTAGCCAGAAAACAAGTTCAGCTTTTTATAACGGTGTATGTTGCTTTTGTGAAAACAATACAACCTATTTGAAGGGCATTCCTAGTCTCCTATGGACAGAAGAGAAGGGATAAAGATGTGGCTCTGTGGCTTCCTTCCTCCGTTTCCTTCTCCTAAATTAAGAGTTTCCACTTACAGCCCTCAAGACACTATGCTGTTTTAAGCTCCGGGCATCCATGCTCCTTCCACCTTTAAGCAACTGTTCACCGCTCTGCAAGAATTCCTAGGACTCCTATTCATCCCATAGGTGCTCAGGCGTTCCCTGTAACTAGCCCTCCGGTAACCTCTCACCCCTGAAGAGAATGAACCTCTTTTCTTGGACCCCACCTAAGAACTTAGATACACAGCTATGCAGCAGCAAGCTGGAAACATTTCGCTTGCATGATCTTAATGACTTTTTGCTTTGCTTCACTTTGAGCCAGGGTCTCCCTGTATAGCTCAAACTAACCCAAAACCCAGGATGTTTCTTCCTGACTCAGCCTCCTAACTGCAGGGATTATAGGAAGGTGCCATGAGGCCTGTCTCTCATCTTTAAAAAAAAAAAAAATTAAAAAAAAAAAAAAAGGCTCAGCCAGGGAGTGATGATGTCCACCTTTAATCCCAACACTGGGGAGGCAGAGGCAGGTGGATCTCTGTGAGTTTGAGGCCACAGCCTGGTCTACAGCCAGTGACCAGGAAGCAGTCGCTCCAGGATACAATCCCAGATTTCTTTGCCTCTGTATGTAGCCTTGAGCCACTCTTCAGTCCTAAATCTACACTGCAGTAGCATAGGTCCTGGTCCCTAACACTTCTTCAGTTCCATAAGAACTGAGATGAGATTTTGAATATTCATTCTCCTTGGATCCTGCCCAGCTTTTACAATCTGCTGCCTGCAGGGGTTTTTTGTTGTTGTTCTGGGTTGATTCCCTAACCCCGGGGGTTCTCCTAAATTCCCCCAGGCAGTCCAGAACTCAATATGCAGATCAGGCTGGCCTCAAACTTGCAACAATCCTTCTGCCTCTGCAGGACTGTTTTCTCTTAAGATGAAGTTTTGCTGTGTAGCCTCCAGCTAGCTCTGCAGAACAAATGGCCTTAAACTGGTGGTGGTCCTCCTATCTCAGCCTCCCAAATACTTGAGTCACAAGCATGTACCATCTTCCCTGGATCTGCCTAGCCTTTTCTTGGTTGTTTTGTTTTTGGTTTTGATTTTGAAACAGGGTCTTACTCTCTACCCCGAGCAGGCCTGGAATTCACTATGTATCCCAGCCTAGCTTCAAACTCAGCAGTTTTCCTGCTTCTGTGCTTAGCTACATACTACAATTGCAGACATGGGCTTAGTGCTTCGTTTGTTTGCTTATTCTGAGCCAGGGCTTCAGCTGGCCTGGAACTCTTTGTAGATTAGGCTGACCTTGAATTCTTAGAGATCCACCTGCCTCTGCCTCCCAAGTGCTAGGGTTCAAGATATGTGCTACCAGCCAGGCTCATCTGCCTATCTGTGTGTGTGTGTGTATGTGTGTGTGTGTGTATGTGTGTGTGTGTGTGTGTATGGTATGTTCACTAACCTGAATAAAATTATACAAAATCTAACATGAAAAACGAGAACCATAGAGAAAAATTCACTCTCCCAAATGTTACTCCTTTAAACAAATTATTTCTAAGAATTTGCCACCAAACACAATCTGGCCACCCCAACTTTCTGCACCAGAGTGAGCAGTGAGCAGTGAGGCTCTTTGCACAAGCAGCTTTCACAAAGCTAGGAGGAGCACTTACTCTCTGAGTTGCACACCATCTCTCAGAAAACATCAGCCAAAAACTGCTGGGCCTGGATATGTAGATCGGTAGACTGGTGTTCACTAGCTTCGCCCTTCTCACCGTTGAATGTCAAGACAGATAGAAGCCGAAAGAAAAAGGAACTTTCTGCAGACAGAAATGACCACTGACCACAAGGCTCTCTGGCTTAAATGTCATTGAGGTCAAAGCTACCAATTACCTAAAATTTGCCTAAACATCTCCCTTAATAAATAGCTCAAGTTTGACAGTTAAGTATGCTAGCAAGAAAAAAAAAATTTCCCAAGTAAGCCACAGAACAGTAGGTTAGCTAGCTTCACTTAGCAGTCACTAAGTAGTTTTCTCCCCGATTCTTTCAGCCTACTGCTATCCAGAATTTTCACTATCCAGAATTCCACTGACACTTCTCATCAGGGGCTACACTCACTCTAAACTGAAACTGAATACTTAAGCAGGGACCAAGAAATATGTAGAAGGCACAAGTTTCACCACTATGACATACTATGCCTTAGGCAAGTGTCTTGTCCTTTTGGCCTCAATTTCCTTATCTACAAAATGAGGTTAACATTCTGTGAGCAACCTACCTCACAGGCCCTTTGAAGGTCCTCATGTTTGTGGATTATTTCTAAGTGGTTATACGTCCCCAATGGACTACACATGAAAATAAAAGATTCATGAATCTGCTAATGGTTCTTTGTGGCGAGTGTGCTAACAGACTAAGAACAAACACTCCAACTTTTTCATTATTATTATCCCAGATTTTCTTCCCAACGGCTCTTCCAAAAGCCCTGGGTTCAATTCCCAGAACCCACATGGAAGTTCACAACCATCTGTCACTAGTTCCATAGCATCCAATGTCCTCTTCTGGCCTCCTTGGACACTGGGCACACATGGCACAGACACACATGCAGGCAAAACACTCATACACATAAAATCAAGATAAAAACCTAAAACAAAAAGACTCTGCTAGCGTTCTGGTCTAGCCCATGCAATAAGGAAATAAACATGTTCCCTCAAGGAATATAGACATTATTTAATATGAAAAGAAAAAAAAATGGCTGGCTCAAGACCTAACAGTCTAATTCCACATATAAAAGGTGGAGAGATGATTTATTGCTGTGATATTAAAGTCAATGCTTTACCTGCGCTGGCAGCCCAACCTTTACAAAGCACACACAAAATAAATAAGCCCGTTCACATAGCAAACAGCAGGTATAAACTACACACATTTTGATTAAGAAAAACAAATAACCACTGACTGTAACGATGCACACATCAATTGATGTCACAGAGTGATGAGGATTTATTTAGGTATGGAAAAAAAGTGACCCGAGTGACAGTCTGAATTTTCCTAACTTACTAACTTACCTACAGCCACACACCCCCAACAGGTAAAGCTTACACACAGAACTCAGTCAAGGCCAGCCAGTCTTTGTTTCCCTAGCTTCTGCATTTACCCAAGAGCTTGGCTCGGAGACAGAAAACTCCCACTCTTGATTGGCTCACTCTGTCCTATGCAATTAGGCAACACCACAATCCAGTAAATGCAATGGCTCAATTATTTATCGTCTCGTCGAGTTTACCAGGTGTTTACGAGAGAACAATGTCAAAGAGGAAAAGAGGTCTGTTGCTCTTTAGAGCTGGTTTGACCAGGGATTTATTTTGAATTAAAAAAAAAAAATGTTCTTAACATAGAAAGGGATGGGAAAGAATTTAGAAAGAACACAAGTTTGTCAATTTCCTATAGGAAATCTCATTCTTATGAAAAAGAATTGTACCCACAAGTAGCCAGCCCAATTGGCTGGGAGCGCGGTGGGGTCGGGGGAGGGGGGGGAGGCACAACATTTCCCACCTCCTAGGAGGGTACACCTCGTAAGCTGGCTACTGAAGGAGCAAAAGCAGGGCAAGGCGAAGAAAGTGGCTTAGCGCGGAGCCGCCAGGCCCAGCACGGGGGCGGGTGGGAGGCTCTTTCCAAACCCCCAACCTCAAGGATCTCCGCCGGCGTGACTGTCGCTCTGGTGGCCTCCAGGAGCAGTCCCTGGAGGGTCACCCCCAGCCTGGGATGCCCTTCCCCGCGGTCCCACCCCCAGAACTCCTCACTCTCCCTCCGCACCAGCCCCTGGAAACTTCCGGCGCCCCTTCCCCTCCCAGGCCGGCTCCTGTCATCCGCACAGCCGTCCCTCCGGCGGCGCGACCCCTCCGAGTCCCCCGCTCTCCTCTCGCCCCAGTTAGGTGTCCCTTCACGGCTCTAAGCACCCCCAGAGCCGCGGCCGCGCGACGCCCCGTGGGGGTCCCCCCCGCCCGCCCGCGTGCCGTCGGGGAGGCGGCCCCACCCTGCGCACCCCCTTCACCTGTCTCCGGGACGAGGCCCGACTGGCCGGGCTGCGCTGGCTCCGGGTGCCTCCGGGTCCCCGAGGGCCTGGCCTGGCTTCTCCGAGCTGACGCGGTCGGGCGACGCCGAGCGGGGCTGCGCTCTCAGCGATCCGGTCGGGGTTCGTTCCCTCCGCCGCGTCGTCGGAACCCCCAGGCTCCCCCTCCCGGTCTACACTGCAGCTCCGGAAACCGCTGAATTACAGCCCCTCCAGCCAATCCCCACCCAGCCGCCACCGGCCAAGACACGCCCCCCTGCATAATTAAAGAATGGCCAGCCGGCTGGGCCACCCCGCGGCCTCGCGGAGAGCGCCGGACTGCCGAAGCCCCGCCCCGCGGCCAATGAGGAGCGCCTCTGCGCGAGGGGGTGGAGTCGAGACGCGCTGGGCACGCCTCCCCGCGCTGGCTGTTCCGGGAGCTCGGCGTCCCTCCCTCCGCGATCGAGCGAAGCGCGGAGGCCTAGCTCGCACTGAAGCCCAGGGGGAGGGAGGAGACGTTCGCGGAATGTCCTGCTGAAAACTCAGCTGAGTTCCTGGCAGCGCGTGACGTCAAGACACTTTAAATGCCCCGAGACGGCTCGCTTCTGCCCGCTCTCCCTGTTCCCGGCCCTTGGCACCACGTGGGGGCGAGATCGCGAGCCTCTTACCGCGTGGGGGTCAGCCAGTTAGGCGGTCCCCAGGTATCACCCCACTTAGGCATTTGGGTTTTCTGCGGACCTCAAGAAGAACATGGGCGACTCCTGGCTGCTCTCAACTTTGCATTTCTGCGTGCGTCTGGACACACACCCGGAAATATGACGTGGAAATAGAGTGATTGCTAGATTGCGTGGGGGAGAATAGTGGCTACTCCATCGCTTCCAGCATGAAACTCAACAGCGAGGTTTATTGGTCAGCTCAAGAGAATGCAAAGAGCTTACATGGGACATTTGAGACGCATACACAGTGTTTGCCATTTCCACGTGTCTGAGTTCCCCCCCCCCCCATTAAACTTTGTTATGTTGGGTCTTAAATTCTGTAACAGAAAGCTGGGCTCGGTGGTGCCCGCCTGTAATCCCAGCATTCTGAGAGGCAGGGGCAGGCGGATTTCTGAGTTCGAGGCCAGCCAGCCTGATCTACAAAGCGAGTCCAGGACAGCCAAAGCTACACAGAGAAAAACCCTGTCTCGAGAAACAAAATTCTGTAACAGAGTTTTGACCAATTTGTTTCCATTAAAAGGCACTTATTTTAAGGGCTGGAAGGACTCCTCAGCAGTTAAGGGGACTGGCTGGTTCTGGTGGAGGATCCAAGTCCGACACCCGCATGATGGCTCTCAGCCATCTGTAACTCCAGTCCCAGAGGCCCTGAGGCCCTCCTCTGAGGCTCGGCCCACACCAGGAACACACGTATGGTGCACAAACATACATGCACACAAAAACATCCATACACATTAAATGCTTTTTTAAAAAAAAATTAGGTACTGATTTTAAAAACTAGAACTAACACACAGAGATGGCTTGTAAAATATTCTCCTGATGGGTTTAGGATTCCTTGTTATCTTTAATTAGTCTTTTAGCTTTTATCTTAAGTGTCCGATTGAGACAAACAGTTCGACCACTGCACAAGACGGGGGGTGACAGGTGTTAGGGATAATATTCACTTAGCCTTTTCTGAGGTCTTGAAGCTCTTGAACGTATCCAGCATCTTTCCCGTCTGGTCTGTCCGGCGTGCAGAATCTGACTGAGCTGAAACCTGTGGTTCACAGTACAGGTGTATGCTCCCCTTTATGTAACAGGATGAACTCTGCACACTGCAGTGCTCTGGATGGATAGGTGACGGGGCAGACTTACAAGTCTATCAAGAGTTTGTATAGCTTGTGCTTAACACAAGGAGGGATAAGGATAGAATCTAAAAGAGGCTATCATCTCCCCGTGCAGATAACCCCAATGACAGACTTTTACCCACAGCTAATGTACACCCATATAGTTCAGGAAACTTGAAGTTTTTGTTTTCTTTATTGTTACTATCATGATTTCTTGAGACATTGACTATAATGTCTGAGATTGAATACAATCCCACCACACCCCATCTAGGTTGAAAAAAAAAAAAACTGTTTTTCGTTTTTGTTTTTCCAGACAGGGTTTCTCTGTGTAGCCCCGGCTGTCCTGGAACTCACAGAGATCCACCTGCCTCTGATGCCCAAGTGCTGGTATTAAAGGCATGTGCCACAACTGCCTGGCTAGGTTGAAAAAAATATTTTTTTAAAGATTTATTTATCTATTTTATGAAGAAGAGTGCGCTATTTGCATGTACACCTATATGCCAGAAGAGGGCATTAGATCACATTGTAGATGGTTATGATCCACCCTGTGGTTTCCAGGAATTGAACTCAGGCCCTCTGGAGGAACAGCCAGTGCTCTTAACTGCTGAGCCATCTCTCCAGCCCTGGGTTGAAATTTTTAAATAAAAATCTTATCCTTCCTCCATCACTCCTTTTTCCCAAAGATACATACTGTTACTAATTTCTGGTGAGAAAAGTCAATGACTCTTAACCTCTCCTGAGTCACAGACCCTTCTGCGGAACTGGCAGAGACTATAAATTCTACGTCAAAGGAAAGAGACAGCCGAAGCTTTTATTCACATCTCCTCACCGGCTTCCCTAAAGCCCGTCCAAAGACTCCAGACTGGGATCTCAGACAACCACCTCAGATCCACTTTCAGGAGCAGATCTCTCCATGTTTGGAATAGAACCCAGGGACCTGAACACACTTGCTATGTGTTCAGCTGCTGAGCTGGATGTTAAGCGCACACGCAACCACTGAGCGACTTTCCCCAGCTGACACCCATTTCAAAGCAAGAAGCCAATGCCTCTGAGTAGGGTCATTAATGTTGGACGGAAGTCCTCGTTGCCCAGGACATCCACCGCGTGTGGACCTCCACCTAGGGAGGGTGGGAGAGAGAGCACAAATGTTCCTCTTCCCTGCAGGGGGATCCCCCATATCACCTGATTATCTTTGAGCTTGATGGCCCATATGGTCAATTAGCTCCCTGACAATATAGTTTAATATTCGTTTTATGATTTCCTGCTGACAACGCACATATATTCATTGTCCTTTTGCTGCTGTTGTTTGTTTTAGTCAGTGTCTCTCTTTGTAACCCAGGTTGGCCTACAACTACACTCCTGTAATGGCTCCAGGGTTAGCACTGCAGGTATGTGCCGCCTTGCCCTCCTCATTGACTCTTCTTTTTTGCACCAGCCTGGTTAGCAAACAGGAGAGGCCGTGTTATTTATCCACTGATAGAACACGGAAGGAGAAGGACAAGCATTGTGGCTCAAGCTTATAAACCCAGCTGAGGGGCAGGAAAATAGCTCAGGTGGTACAGTGCCTTTTCTGTAAGCCTAAAGACCTGAACCCAAGCTGGCACAGGCCTATAATCCCAGCACTTGGGGAGATAGAAGCAGGTGGATCTCTGAGTTCAAGACCTGCCTTCTACACAGAGAAATCCTGTCTCGAAAGAAACCAAGGGACGGGGGACCTAAACCCAGGTCCCTGACACTCATGAAAAAAGGCCAGGTATTGCTGGAGAGATGGCTCAGTGGTTAAGAATGTGCATTGTTCTTGCAGAGGACCGGGGTTCAACTCCTAGCACCCACCCACATCAGGCAGCTTCCAACTGCTTGTAACTCCAGCGTCCAAGGGATGCCCCTAACCTCAGGCACAGGCACATATACAGATAACACACACTTATGTGTTAACAAACAGTAAGAAAAAGAAAAAGGCCAAGTGTGATCCTAGCATTGGTGGGCAGACACGGATGGATCCCCAGAGCTTGCTGACCAGCCAGTCTAACTGATCATTGAGTTCTAGGTTCGGTAAGAAACAACGTCAAAGGATAAGGTGGAGGCTTTCTGACTTGTTACCAAGCCTGACAGTTCAACATCCGGGGTCCCACATGATTGAAGATCCTCCAAGTTTTTCTCTGACCTCCCCACACATACTATGGCATACAGGCACATGAACACACACACACAAATAGATAGATAAATAAACAATTTTTTTTCAAGAAAGATGAAAGCCAGGGATGGTATAACATCTGTCTGCTATCAGAGGACTAAAAGAATTGAAAGATCCGCAGAAATGCTCCCATCCCTGGCCTGCAATAAATGCTTAACCTCTGTAACTATCAACAATCAGTTAAATATACATTAATGAGCATCCAACACAGAGCCAGGCATACAGTAGGAGCTCAGTCTATGTCCCTTTTTTCCTCTTGATTTCACTCACCAAATCCAGTGTGGCCTGAACCTCAAGTAATTCCAACACTGAATGTATCTCCTTCCTCTTGAATGTGTCAGTTCCTCAGTAACCTTGTATCTTTGTGGTTATCTTGTACCTAGAATATGTTCTCCCTTGCCATATGAGAAAACTATGATTCTTCTAAGAATCTCCTTCTCTTTGCTTTCCAGATATTTTCAGCGAAGTTAAAGTCTTCTGCTAGGCCTCTTCAGCAGATCCTCTTCCCCATCTAGAATAACCAGGTCCTTTCCCCACCTAGGAAAAATGTTCCTCGCCTTAAAGCGCAATAAATCCATCTTTTGGCCTACTTCCCAGTAAATAAAATTAATGCTTAATATTTATTAAGTAATTTCTATGTCCACAAACTATACTGGGCATCTAACCCAGACAGATATTATAATTCTCATCTTGGGGATAGGGTTTGAGACAGGGTCTCACTTTGTAGCTCTGGCTAGCCTGAAACAAGCTACATAGAGCAGGCAGGCCTCAGACTTGCAATGATCCCCTTGCCTTTGCCTACCAGATTCTGAGATTGCAAGTATGAGCTACAATGCCGAGGTTTTCTTTTCCTCTCCTGAATCAGTGTCTCCCATTGTCCAGGCTTGTCTCAAACGCACTTCTAATCCTCCTGTCTCCACCTCTCAAAGGGCACGATTACAAGCATACAGTTGTTTCTCAGCCGAGAAAACTAAGATTTAGGAAGTGAAAGACTTCTCTAGTGTGGTGGAGCAGAGCTATAATCCTATCGCTTGGGAGGTGTCACAACAACAAAATGGCAAAAAAAACAAAAACAAAAAAAATCTAATTATGTTATACATCTGTAATCCAGCACTCAGAAGGCACAGGGTAGTAGTTGCGGTACATAGTAAACACAGGGCCAACCTGGGCTACACTTTCTTTCTAAATTCATTTATTA